TCAAATAGATAGATAGATAGATAGATAGATAGATAGATAGATAGATAGATAGATAGATAGATAGATAGATAGATAGATAGATAGATAGATAGAACGAAAGAGAAAGATACGTAGTTAGATAGATAGAACGAAAGAGATAGATACATTGAGAATGTTAGTACCATGATATCATTACGACATGTTGAAGAAGACAACACTGACAGAGCCATGATGAAACACACAGGAAGTATACAGGTTCACAGTTTCACAGGTTCACAGGAAAATACCGAATCATATAACACATACAGCCAAGGGCACAGGAGCCATATTTATAATCCTTCAAGTTTGTTTGTCGATGATGAAGCTGGCCAGAAACAAAATTTGGCATTCACAGAGGTTAGTGTTTTACTTTTCAAAGGTCTCCATTACTTTGCCCAAAGGTAGAGATTATAGATTATCATGCCAAGATTAAAACTTCCGGAGAACAAGATTTACCAGGTCTTCCAACGTACAGGAAGGAATTATTAGTATTGCCTCCGGTCTATAGTTCCTGGTTTGGGTAACTTGCTTGGATCTTGTGCAACTGGCACAGGGGGGACATTGTTTAGAGGAGGTATAGCAAAGTCTGCCAAGAACTAGCTTTTCAGAAAGGGCCAACGTAAACCAAATAACGTCTGCTGGTTTTCAACACGGCGTCGAAAAAGGTAAAACGAAAAAGAAAAGATCACCACAAAAGAAAATAATTATGCAAACCGAAGAAACATTGTGGAAACACTCATCAAGACGTATGCACGCACCGAAGGGTTGGTTAAAAAGGAGGGTAGAGGAGCAAAAAGGTATGGGGGGAGGAGGCTGGCAAAAGGGGTTGTAGTATGGAGAACTTTGTGTAAAAACTTACGGGTACCACTAGCGGGCCTAAGCTGTGGGTACTACATCTGCGAGGCCGGTCTGGCTTGTCCCTGTCTTCTCCAAAACACGAAAAGGGGAACACGCCTAGACTATGGGTACTGGGCCTCCGCGGTTTCTCACCGCCCTCCCCAAACATGGAGATGGGCAGGATGCCCACGCTATGCGTGCTGGGCCTGCGGCTCTCGGCCGGAGACACGGGCAGGATGCCCGCCATACTGGGACGTCGGTGGGAGGAGCCTGCACCCCGGTCATAGGCGGAGGAGGCGGAGCTAACGCCGCGGTGAAGCAAATCGGTTAGCCCACTTACAGAAAAGGGTCCCAAACTGTGCGTGCTGGGTCGTCGTGGGCGGTCTGGGCTGAGGTCGTCGGTGGTGATGGAGATGACGGGGTTGTTGCTGATGCTGCCGCCGCCGGGCCCATTGGTGGTGATGAGGCTGTTGCTGTTGGAGGCGGAACTTGAGGAGGGCGGGACTAAACTGTGGCGCCGGATCGTCTCTACCGGCTTGTCCAGCGTGGACTTTTCGTCCTGTACATGAGATACAAAGGTTTGGTGGTTGAGATAACAACATAGAGGTGTAAAGACACATTCGCGACCTCAGTGCTTTCTTGTCCTATCTCCATTTCTAAAACAGTGAGAACAGTTCGTAACATAGAGTGGGCTTACGATAAAAAAATGGAGATAGGACAAGAAAGCATTGAGGTGAAAGCGACATGGTGACGGTTATTTATTGGTAAAAAGTAAATAATAGAACAGACTGACAGACACATTGTAGAAATAATGAAGAAACTGGAACTTTCAGTGATAACATCCACCCCCCCCCCCCATGATACAGAACAACAGATTAAATTGAGGATGAACATTGGAAAGTAACGTAAGTTCAAAACATATATATTTAGTAAAGTAAATAAGAAACAATCCAGGTTGCTTCACACCGTGACTGTCAGGTCTATTCAGGATGCGAGAAATGCATCCCAGCAGAAAGATGGACACTACTCAGTTAAAAATCTCTCCAGGCCGGGAGGTCTTACAAATTTCTACATTAGTTAAGGACCATCTTGACCAATAGCCCTGATTTTTTTAGAAAATCCGAAAAAAAGAAAGCGAGGAATGTTTCAAATTTTTTTGCTCTGAAAGTGTTAATGGGTTACTACTGTGTAAGTACTACAAAGCTTCCTAAAGGGGCAAAACCACCACGTGTAGGACGGAAATCCTCGGGGAATTTTAGCCAAATTTGCCGTTTTTTTAATCGACTTGTGTGCGATTCAACTGACATTCCTCAGTTAAAATTTCTGGAGCTCATGATAAACGGACGTATAATCTCGAACTGTGCTCACTTTAGTGGCAATATAAGCCGCGGTTTGCGCAAAATCCAGTATCGCATCAACATGCCACCAAGACAAAAGCTGAGAGACTTTGATCGTGCCAGGGCTATGGCAAGGCTGCAGGATGGAGTTGGAGCCTGAGAAGTTGCCAGAAGGCTAGCAGTGTCACACTCTGTCATTGTCCGCTTGAGGCAGCGCCATCGAGCCACTGGATCAATCCAAGAAGACCCACGTGCAGGTCGACCCAAGAAGACCACTCAGAGTGTTTGCAAGTGGTCCTTAACCTATGCTCAAGCCTGTATTTCCGTTCTCTGCGATTCAGAAGACCAGCTTAACAATAACTCAGAAGACACTGTCAATCACATATTTTTATGATTGCAAAATGTTGAGACTAAGAAGCACAAAGAAGCACTTCACAGATACGTCTCGGCTCCGAGTCTCTCAAAGTTCGATAAGTTATGTACGATATAAGAGGAAATGGACGTGGAAGTGGAAGTGGAAGTGAATGTGGGGTTTTTGAATACGCAAAATGACGTGGCACATAATAATTTCTCTGCCAGATGTGGTGTCATTGGCCATACCAGAAGCCACATATCATCTTGTCTTTTCATTCTTCTTATTCTTCTATTTCGCTAAAGAAATGTTCTCCTCTGCGAATGCATTGGTCATCCTCAGACTTTGACGGACTAACTATTATTATTATCACGTTTTGAGAACCAGAAGTGCCCTTGAATCCAACATGACTGACAACCATTAGTCAGTATCAACCAACAATATGCTTAAAAATAGGAACGTTACGCCGGCCTATATATAAAAGATATAGAAGCAATTTTGAAGGCGTGTGCTAGAATCTAGGTCGCCTTCAAAGATTCAAAAAGAAAAAAAAGAAAAAAAAGAGTAAATCGTTACAACAAGTACATCCCTCAGTTCTGCATCCAGAACTTTCTTTTACTAGCCACGTTTATTAGCTGGCTAAACCATTAGATAAAAGCATTAGATAGAAACCCAAGTCCACTCTCCCAATCTCCACCATTGTGTTACCATTCTTGTGATCTTTTCGTATCAATATTGAAACAGCAAGGATTTTCATATTAAACCCGACCTACACCAACACACACACACACGCACGCACACACACACACACACACACACACACACACACACACACACACACATATATACACACACACATTAAATCACACAAAGCACACACACAAACACACATACAAACAAACAGCACACACAGACACAACCCTTCCCCCAACACACACACACATGCACTCGCAAG